TAGAATCTCTTAAATTCTATCTTTGTCAAATCTATGCCATCTCTCTCAGTGGAACTGCTTATTCATTGTTGCTATCACTCTGGTTTAGCCTTTTGCTGCTTCTTGCTCATTTATTATGATATATTGGCTAGATAGAGACAGAATGAACCATCATTCTAGTCCATTGTTTTTCACAGATGTCAGGTTTAAATCCCTAAAGTGCAGTCCTGATCCCACCCTTCAAATAGCTTCCTTTGCCTTTAAATGAATACAGATTGTTTAACTTGTCAATTAAGGTCACTGACACTAATTTTCATCGCCTTTCTTGTCTTATTTCCTACCTTCCCTGAGTAGGCCCTATAGGTTCCTACCTTTATGCTTATTTTGCTCCTTCTTGAAGCTTTCTCTTTTTATCTGTTTATGAGACTTACTAGTCCTCTGCCAATTTTTTAAAAATATCTCCCACTTAAGTATTCTTTGAACAAATGCAAATGTACTACCTACTTTGAATCATAAAACTTTATTTTAAACTTTGGTGATGCTTAAAGTGTGCTTTGTGGCCCTCCTAAAGATTACTGTGTCTCTCCTATCTCTGTATGTTTTGTACCACCTTTCAACACGCCTTGTGTGTCTCAAGCATCACAACTTGATAAACATTGTTGAGCATGTCCATTGCATAAGCCTAGTACTTAATAATAGAAAATGAATTAAAATATTCTCCAGTTTGTCAGTGATACCCAAAGTAATATGACTCTAAAACCATATTTTAATCATTGTTTGCAATCTTTTTGTAAAGATAAACATGTTGACAAATGATAAACATAAAACAATGGCTGTACCTCAGAATCAGCTTTATTGAGGTGTGAAAAACTGATGACGAGATTAGCCCCAGACCTTGTAAATGAATGAGACTGAGAACCTGTGCATTCAGAATTGGGGAAAGCTCATGTTCATGAACAGAAAGTGTAGACAACTATAACTGATATATTAGAAACTTATATTCTGACATGGAAATTAGAATTTGAACTACTTTTTGTATAATTTTGAATTGAATTTTTAAAAACTCAAGTGCCTCAGTTTTAACATTTTGACAACTCAGTCTGTGGATTATTAATACCTTTTGCTTTCAGAGTTTTCTTGGTATACTGTCTTTTTAATAGGTATAAACATTAGATAGCCATTAAAGATTGAAAGAAGAAAACAAAATAAAAATTTTTCACAGTTTTGCTGTTTACCATCAGTTTTCTAAAGCAGAAATTATCTTGAAGTTTCAGAACTTTGTGTAAAATTAAGTTTGGGGATTCCCAAAATATTTAAACATAGCCCTGGCTGGTTTCGCTTAGTGGATAGAGCGTCAGCCTGCAGACTAAAGGGTCCCAGGTTCAATGCCGGTCAAGGACACAAGGCTGATCCCCGATCCCTGGGCGGCATCTAATCAATGTGTCTCTCTCACATGGTTTCTCTCTGTCTCTCCAAATCCCTTCCACTCTCTTTAAAAATTAATGAAAAAAATTATCTCTTCTAATGAGGATTAACAAAAAATCAAAATCAAAATTTTTTAAACATAAATGATTGGCTTTACTACAGTACTGTATAATTGTAGGAACACTTATTAAAGTACCAAACGATGTATTTCTCTTTTATTTTAAAAAGGAAAACCAGACTGTAGATCAAATAAGTAAAATCTGTATCTTATTTTGCTCAGATTCTTATCATTTTTCATTGTATGGAAGTAATTATAAACATTTCTAGTATTTCTTTAATGTGAGACTGCAAAAGAAACTGATAAAAAATTTATAAAGTAGACTCTGTTTGATGTTAAATCTCAAAAGCATGTAATGATGCTTAAGCATTTTAATATGTGTCTAAGTTAATGCTATAATTTAAAGTACTATATCCTGTCTTTTATACTTGGTTATACTTTGCATAACAGAGCAAAGCTTTGTTTTTTATAAATAATGAAATATTTATAAAGATTAATATTAAATTAAAGATAAATCCCAGAAATTTGAAATTGTTTAACAATGAAGCATGTGTGAAAATGAAATAATGTGCTTTTTAAAATATTCCTTTGGGGCAAAAATAAAATATGTGGATAGTTGTGACATCCATATTGTTTAGTTATTGTTGTTTATTTTTTATCAAATTTATTTTTCTAAAATGAAAATTAATTTTGACCTTGCTATAATTTGTACACAAGCAGACATATCTACAACATTTACATGTTAAATATTATAAACAATAGTTAATGAAGTTTCCTCATAAAATAAAGTTAGAATTATTTATGTTAGTTCCTCTAATGATTCAAAGTTTGAATATTTGAAGGGACTCACCAGACTCCATAGAGCTACTCACTTAAGGCTTTTGCGTAAAAGTAAAGGATATTGTGCAGGAAAAAAAAAGAAAAGAAAAAAAAAAAAAAAAGCACAGGCAAAGTGCCCCAGGGTCTTTATTCAGACAAAGACATGCTTTGTCTCCAGATTGAACTATCAACATGTGTGCAGTGAATTTTGGCTTCAGGAAAGCTCAAGGCTGGGCTTTTTTTTTTTTTTTTTTTTTTTTTTTTTTTTTTTTTCTTCCCTCTAGTCACATAGCCCAACCTGGCTATCAGTTATTCCAGGTGAAAATCATCAGTAAACAAATCCTGGCTGGAGGTTACATGACAGGTTCAGATATTAAGCAGCACATCACAAATCCCACTTTTCATTTCTTGTCCAGGAATCAAGGGCAGACATTCAGCATGGGCTTAACTGCTGACCTCTCAGAGAGAGAGAGAGGTGGGGCTGATCAGCAGTGGCAGACCCAGATAGAAAAGCAGGGTGATCAGACCCTGTTTTTCTCTCCCTCACCAGCAGCCAAGCCTCTCACTCTCTCCCAGTGGTCAGTAGCTCAGCCACTCACCAGCAGCCTGTGGCGGCTGTTAATCAGCCCCGCCTCTAAAATCAGGCCCAGATATAGGCCCAGAGATGCTGATTGGCATAGAAACCGACCATAAGAACCAAATCTGGGTGAATTGTGAGGAGCCAATGGCTACCTAGAAGACGGAGCTTTGACACTGACTGGCATAGAAACCGACCAATCAGAACCAAATTGGCCAGCAGAGGAAGGCAATTGGGGATGAGATCAGGACAGATAGGGGTGATCAGGCAGGCAGAGGCAGTTGGGGTGATAAAGCTGGCAGGAAAGGCAGTTGGGGGTAAGATCAGGTTGGCAGAGGAGGGCAGTTGGGGCAATCAGGCCAGCAAGGGAAGGGCAGTTGGGGGCCATCAAGACAACAGGGAAGGGTAGTTAGGGGTGACCAGGCTTTCAGGGAAGGACAGTTGGAGGTGACCAGGCTGGCAGGAGACAGCAATTGGGGTTGAGATCAGGCCAGCAGGGGAGGGCATTTGGGGATGACCAGGCTGGCAGGGGAGGGCAGTTGGGGGCAATTGGGTCAGCAGGGGAGCATTTAAGTTAAGGTGACCAGACGTCCCGCTTTTGGCGAGACAGTCCCGATTTTTAACAATTTGTCCTGTGTCCTGTAGCGTTTTTAAAAAGTCCAAATCTTTCCAAAAATTGGGACTTTTTTAAAACACTGCGGGATGCAGGACAAATTGTTAAAAATTGGGACTGTCCCGCCAAAAGCGGGATGTCTGGTCACCTTAATTTAAGTGTTAATCAGGCCTGCAGGGGAGCGGTTAAGGGGTGATCAGGCTGGCAGGCAGATGTGGTTAGGGGCAATCAGGCAGGCAGGCAGGCAAGCAGTTAGGAGCCAGCAGTCCCGATTGTGAGAGGGATGTCTGACTACCTGGGATTGGCCTAAACCAGTAGTCGGACATCCCCTGAGGGGACCCAGATTGGAGAGGGTGCAGGCTGGGCTGAGGGGCAAACCCCCCCCCCCCGCCATTGCACAAATGTCATGTACCTGGCCTATAAATTAAATATAATAATTTAAATACTTTAAGAATTTTTTTAATGACTTACAAAATCAGGTTTTAGGACCAGTATCTCAAAAGTTTTTAAATTATGTGGGAGAGAGATTCTGTTTCAAATGAAAGATTCACAAAATTACTCTAGGATTTGCACACTAAATATCAAATTGGATAGGCATGATATAAGTAAAATATCAAGATATACCTTGATTGTCTCCTTTCTACTTGTGTCCTCTTTCGTTCATTTATAATATATATACTTCTATGTGCTAGACACTATGGTCTCTACTGAGGATTTAACAATTTAAAAAATGTTATCCTTGCCTTTAATGATCTTCATTTCATTTTTTATAAATTTAAAATTCCATGAGGGTGTATCTGTTAGTAATGCACAAAGTGTTATGTATTATGAGGACTGGGATTTTAGGATCTTTTAGCTAAGACAAGTTAGGGAATACTTGAAATGAGGAGATTTTTGAACTAAGTCCTAAAGATTGAAGAAGTTATTATAAAAAGAGGTAGGGAGATAGTCCAATCAAACAGGTGAAAAAATAGACAGGGACTTGTTTAGGAAACAGTGGGCTTGTAATTTGTTATACCTGGAACATAAACTACATGGGGAGAATTGGCAAGACATGAGACTCTTGAAGACCAGATGATGGCTAGTCTTAAAGGCCATGCGGAGGAATGTTGATTGTGTACCCAAAGAAGTGGAGAATCCAGAAATCATTATTAAATGATAATTTTTATCACTAAACTTTTTGGCAGGAAGGATACATTTTAGAGGATGAATTAAAGAGGAGGCCAACAGTGAAGATTTGAGTTTGTAATCTATTGGAATAGTCTTGGGAAGTAATGATGGAGCCAAAGTTTGGACAATGAAAGTGAAAATGGATTACACAATTTAGAGACTATTTAGAAGTAGAATCATTAGGCAAATTAGATAGAAATGAGGAAACCATCTATTATACAGATCTGGTCTTGGCAGATTATCCTTTCTAAGCATGCATGTGCACAAAAGTCAGTACTGATTTTACCAAATTTACATTTTCTAATTTTTTACATTCTTTATGGTGTATGAAAATTGTGCTAATTTACTTTCTGTTTTAGGCAAGCCAAGTTAGATATGAGAGTTGCAGTTGCAAAAGTGGAACAGTTAACTCAAGTGACTGAAGATTTTCAAGGACAGATGCAGAAGAAGGTATTTTCTTATTTCTAAGACAACTGATTGAGTGCCCATAGCTTAGTGTTTTCCATGTCTTTTATCCCTGATCTATTTGGATTAGGGGTTAAACAGGCTGTTGGAAAAAAGAATTAATTATTTTTCCCTTTAAATATAAAATCAGTCAGCTAAATTATAATATTGGAAATAATTACCAAAACTTACTGGATAGGAAAGTGTAGTTATTGGCAGTGAGGGCAGTCAGTAAAACTCACTCTCTATGGACCCAGCTATTGGATTTAGCAGGTAAAGGCAGAAGATAAGGAGCAAAAAGTTGTTTAAAAAGATAGTGCCTGAAAAATTCTAAACTTTGGTAGAAAATATAAACAGATCTAAAAATCTCAGTAATCCCAAGTAGGACAAGCACAAAGAAAATCACTTTTAGATACATCCTGACAACACCGACAGTTATAAAGTGAAGACATGAAAACCTCAACAGAAAAATGGCATAAACAGGAATGGCCATGAGCAATGGCTGACTTCCCAGCAAGAAACTGTGGGAGCAGAAAACATTGGAATAATATATCTGAAGTGCTGAAGGCAAAAAAAAAAAAATGCTCACTAAGAATTCTATGTGCAGTGCAACTGTACTTCAGAAATGCAGGCAAATAAAGGCATTTTCAGGTAAAAACAAGTTGTCACTAGCAGAACTGTACTTAAAAAAATGCTGAAGAAAATTCCTTAGGCTGAAAGGAAGTGACACAGATGGCAGCTTAGATATAGGAAGAAATCAAGAGCAACAGGAATTATAACTATGAAATAATATATCGACATATTTTTCTTTTCTCTTATTAACACCTTCAAAGACTTGATTGCTTTAAAGCAGAACTTAGCACTGTATTTGTGAAGTATGCAGATGTAAGTAAAGCAGAACTTAGCACTGGATTTGTGAAGTATGCAGATGTAAGATATAACAGGCAGGCACTAAAAACTAGGATGGTATATGGCAATAAACACACTGCTGCAAGGTTTGACATTTTCTCTGAATTCATTAAATATTAACTCTAAGTAAATTGGAGTAAGTTAGAGATGCATATTTTAATCTCTAGAGCAACCCTAAAAAAGTAATCCAAACAGATATATAGCTAAAAGCCAATAGAAGAATTAAAATGGTATTACAAAGAAGTAACACACCAGAAGGTAGGGAAAGACAGGCAGTGAATTTATTTAAAGGTTATTCAAATAAAACCTAAATATATTTTAAAGCATTTCCATGTCAAAGAAGAACTATCCTGTTATTATAATGGATGCAGTATAACCTAGTTAACAGACCTTGTCTGCTCTATAGAAATACTGTAGTAGAAATCTATATGCAATGACTATTTGATTATTGATTATTTAATACAGGATTGATGGTATCTAATACAGGAAGATTCTCTTCACCATTTTTAGTATATATATGATTTGCTCCTCAAGTGGTCCTGCTTTAAACTTATAAATTATATTCTAATAGTGTGTCTTAGAGAGTGAACTATAGTCTTTATGCTCTAAAATGATGAATTGAATTTTCACATACTCAGAATAAGTTTCCAGTTTCTTTATTTTCTAGGAGGAGGATATGGTGACTTCCCAAAGAAGAGAGGAAGCATCAGATAGGCGTTTACAGCAGTTGCAATCTAGTATAAAACAATTAGAAACAAGGTAAATTTTTAAATACGTCTAGCTTTGCCTATACTTTTCAAAAGATATTCTACATTAGAGTATCAGTATGTATTTGATAAGTGCTAAACAAAAAATCTGATATTTTGAACATTGTTTACCTGAAAAAATGTATTCAAATGATTGGTATATATTCAAAGATCGTTTCTATCTTTACCTTTTCTCTATAGCAATCATAGTTACGTTTAATCAGTCCCAAAATCAAACATGTTCTTTTTATCCTGAAGCAGAGAAAAATAATAATGAAGTTGGTAAAAATCTTATAAAAACCACTTCTTACTAAGCAGATACAAAAGAGAAAAAAATACTTGAGAAATCATTATAGATGGTTTCTCTGGAGGTTTCCGAAGCAATACTTTTCAGTTATCGTTGAAGCTCTAGATACTTTTTATTTTTCATTTTTATTTAATTTTTGTGCTTTAATACTCACCTGAGGATATTTTCCCACGGATTTTTAGAGAAAGCGGAAGTTGAAGGCAGGAGAGAGAGACAGAAACATTGATGTGAAAGAAACACATCGATTGGTTGCCTCCCAAACGCACATTGACTGGGCCCAGGGATCTAATCCACACCCAGGCACCTGTCCTTGACTGAGAATCAAACCGAAGACCCCTTGGTGTGCAGGCCAACTGAGCAACATCAGTCAGGGCTGGACTACTTTTTAAATATATCAATAGATTTGTCCTTCATTGCTATCTTAGTGCAAACATTCACTCTAGAATCTTTTGTTGTTTTGCTCGTTTCCTCTTATTAGCTGTTCCCTTAAAAATTTTGAAAATTGTCATTTGTAATCTTTTAACAATATCATGGCCGCAGCCTGCCTATAAATTCACATTATTGTGGGTTTTTTTTTAAATCTCTTGTATTTTTGTATGAGAGCAAACAGAGTTATGAGTAGCTAAGCTTTGACTAGTTCTTCATAACCCCTGGTGAGTCCATCTGCTCTGCCTGCCTGGGGCCATGGTGAAGGGAAGATGAAGGGATGGTCGGAGAGTGGCAGGTGTCCTGGGTCTCTGGGAGAGGCAGAGTGCTTCACCTGCTGCCACAGGTGCTTTAGCCATTTAAGGTGGAATGAATAATGTCCTGCATAGAAATCATTACATTAAAGTATAAGGGGACCGAATTCTGTTAAAAGGCAGGGACGTGCAGATTTTGATTAAAAGGCAAGGCTCAGTAATATGTTATTTTAGAAAACACCTAAAACAGAGAATACGTAAATTAGAACAGAGATCTCAAGAGGGGGAAGTGGAGGAGGATTTGTGTTAAATTTATGTCTATAAAAGCTGCCCTAGCTGTTTGGCTCAGTGGATAGAGTGTCAGCCTGCAGACACAAGTGTCCCAGGTTCAGTTCTGGTCCAGGGCACAGTCCTGGGTTATGGGTTCAATCCCCAGTGGGAGCACATAAGGGAAGCAGCTGATCAGTGATTCTCTCTCATCATTGATCTATTTCTCTCACCCTCCCCCTTCCTCTCTGAAATCAATAAAAATATATTTTAAAAAATAAAAGCTTACGTGACCATATGACCGGTAGCTATGATGCACAATGACCACCAGGGGGCAGATGCTCAACACAGGAGCTGCTGAGCTGTGATGACTTGGCAGCTGCAGTTTTTGGGTGAAGCACCAGGAACCAGAGAGGAGGGAGCCCGATTCCAGGGTGTGTCACCTGAGAACCGCCCTCTCCCAACCCCTCTGGGGATGTTGGAGAGCTGGGGGTGTGCAAGAGGCACCTAATCGATGACTCTCTCTCATCGATGTTTCTAACTATCTCTCTCCCTTCCTCTCTGTACAAAATCAATAAAAAAATATATATATAAAAAAAAAAAAGAATTTGCTTTATTGCCGAAACCGGTTTAGCTCAGTGGATAGAGCATCCGTCTCCGGACTGAAAGGTCCCAGGTTTGATTCCAGTCAAGAGCATGTACATTGGTTGCAGGCACATCCCCAGTGGAGGGTGTGCAAGAGGCAGCTGGTCGATGTTTCTCTCTCATTGATGTTTCTAGCTCTCTATCTCTCTCCCTTCCTCTCTGTAAAAAAATCAATAAAATATATATATTTTTTTAAAAGAATTTGCTTTATAACATTATCACATAACTATTCTATATTATACCATGATACTATAGAAAATGTAACATAATTAGAATCTGAATATCTAGGCATAGTATCAGCCCCACAGCTTGTTAGCCATATGACCTTGATCAAATGACCTCTATTAAAATAGGTCTGTTTTTCTTTAAAATGGCAATAACAAAATCTATGATGCAGAACTTTTATGTGAACCAAATAAGAAAATATACATGAAAATAACTGGAATAATGCTTGTCCTGTAGCAGGTGCTCAGTAAATATGCTATCTCCTTCCTTCTCTTTAAAAAAAAATTAACTTTTGCAATGTGACTATTAATATTTAGATTATGTGTGACAGTCCAAGAAGCCACCCAACTAAGAGCAGATAAAATACATTTGGAAAAACAGACCAGAGAGTTACAAACGAAGTACAATGAATTAGAAAAGGAGAGATATGAAGCTGTTGTAACCTCCAGAAATAGCATGCAACTCTTAGAAGAAGCTAACCTGCAAAAAAACCAGGTAAGAAAACTAGTTGCCATGTTTATAAAAAATTAAAATACTGAATATTCCTCCATATGACATAGTAGGGAATCTATAACTACAGAATAAACACGTGAAAATGACATTGCTTTGCTCTCCTTTAATAAGCATACTACATTATTGATGGTAAGACTTAATATCGTAAAGCATAATAAAGTGTCAGCTCTCTCCAAAAGCTTATGTATATATATCAGACTTTTCTTCTGTCTATAATCCTTGTGTAACTAATCTTCATCCCCTATAGTTTTATATTCTTTAAAAGACCTGTTATAGCCTGACCAGTGTGGCTCAATGGCTGATTGTTGACCTGTTAACCAGGAAGTCACAGTTTGATTCCTGGTCAAGGCACGTGCCTGAGTGTGGGCTCAACCCCCACTTTGGGGCCTGCAAGAGCAGCTAATCGATGATTCTCATCATTGATATTTCTATTTCTCTCTTTCTCTTCCCTTCCACTCTGAAATCAAAAAAAATATTTTAAAAGACCTATTACAGCACTTTGCTGCAATATACCCTGTATTTTGTTCAGTTGAATGAGATGAATCTTATCTTTATTTCCCCTTTATCACCTACACAATTACTTTAATAGAGCAGAAGTTAATTGACAGGAATTAAATTTAGCTGCGGAGATTTATTAACTGGGACCTTTATTTCACTTTTTTTTAACCTTCTAACAATTGATTCCAATGTGATCACATATCATATTTTTGTCTTTACCACTTCCCTATGAATGATAAATAGTTTATAGAAATTATAAAGCATTCATATTTGTTTTTAATGTTGCTGCCTTCCTTATGTAGAGATCATTAATTTCTTTAACCAGCATTTATTGAATACCTAGTATATGTGTAATAATGCTGGGAAATATGGGAAGTACAATGAAAATGCTTTAAGTTTCCTTTCTTATAGAACAGAGGGTTTTCCAAGAGTGCCATTTAAAAAAAAAGCAAGCTATAAGTTGTCTCCCAAACCAGGTTGTCACAGCCATTTTATGTTATGTTACCATCAGTCTTTTTATCCTCAAACTAAAGGCCCCGTGCACGAGATTCATGCACTGAGGCGGGTGTCCCTCAGCCTGGCCTGAACCCTCTCGCAGTCTGGGACCCCTCGGAGAATGTCCAACTGTCTCTTAGGCCCAATCAGGGGTCGGGCTTAAACTGGCAGTCAGACATCCCTCTTGTAGTCTTGGGCTCTTACAGTCCAAGAAACTATTAAAAAATAAATAATTATGCAAATTTAAACCATAGGAATGCTAATTTTTCCATCTGAATGCTGTCTGCTAGAATGGTTGAAACCTCCAGAAATAGCATGCAACTCTTAGAAATAGACATAAAATAGACATAAAATGCTTGGGAATTTCTCTTAACACCTAAATTAGCTAAAAAATAAAAAAAAAAGTAAAATAAAAAATAAGAGCAGGGCAAAATAGTTCTTTGCCCTCCGAAGCCTAATTATATGAGCATTCTTAACATCAGGTTGTGAAAGATGAACATTATATGAAGAGCTGGCGGACAGAAGGTCGTAGTGACACTCATTGCCTAACCCTCAAATCTTATCACCCAAGCCTTAAGTCAGCAGACTTATAGAGACTATCTGTGGCTACAATATTAAGCTGCCTTTCAACTCATTGCTTAGTTACTAAAGGGTTCTCTACTTCAGCTTCTTGTCCCAAGAAGTCAAGGGTTCTTTAAACTGATCATACACACAGACATGAAGCACGGCCCTGCATAGTTCTCTTTCAGTGCTTCCCCCTTTACTCAGTGTTTCCTTCTCCCAAACCAGGTTGTCACAGCCAAATAGCTGTTACTCTTACTACCGTGTTTCCCCGAAAATAAGACATCTTCCAAAAATAAGACCTATTTACAGATTTCCTTCTGAGTGAAATATAAGGCATCCCCTGAAAATAATGCCCCCCCCCTAGGCTAAACATGAGAGATTTGGTCCACTGATTCTGAAAGAAATAGTCTGAAAAAGTCACAAGAAATTCACCAGGAAATTCAGGAATTGGATTGTTATGATGATGTTCCAGAAGATGACAGGATTGTCATTGAATAAATGAGTAAATTCTTGATACTGTAGGATTCACAGTTTGTCTGGTTTGTGTTGACAACTACCATACTACCATACCGTATACAGGTAATAAATTTCCTTTATTTTCATTTAACAATAAATGTGTATCGTATTCTTCTTCATGGAAAAATAAGACATCCCCTGAAAATAAGACCTAGCGCATCTTTGGGAGCAAAAATTAACATAAGACAGTCTTATTTTCGGGAAAACAGGGTAGCTTACCTATTTAAGCAGGAAGGAAGTTATTAAAGGATATTTTTAAAAGAGAGATGGGAATGTGTGTGGTACCTTTGAAAAATATTAGTATCTGAACACTGGACCACTTAATAGGATGATGAAAGAGAAAGAGATTAATTGAGATTGATTGATTGATTGATTGATTGATTGATTCAGGGCTCAGAAAGATATTTGGACTGAAGAGGTAAACTTGGGAATTGTTAGCATCTAAGTGATATTTAAAATAAAGATATTGGATTAGAGCACCAAGGACGGTCATAGGTGGAGCAAAGGACCAAGGCCTGAGTCTAATATCAAAGAGGTTGAGAAGAGGAAAAAGCAAAACACAGACTGAAAGGGAATAGTGAGAGGAAAACCAAACTGGATGCACAAAAAGCCAAATAAGAACGTAAAATAAGGGAGAAAGTAACGCATTATCTCAAGTGTTGCTGACAGATTAAATAACATAATTACTCTGAAATGACTCCTGAGTGGGCAGTTTGGAGTGTTGTGAAAGCCTGATTGGCATGGTTGAAGGAAGAAGTTTTGGAGGCCAGGAGTTGGCTCCATAGGAAGGCAGAGAGATGAGTATTACTGACAACAGAACTGAGAGTATGAAGCTGTTTTTTAGGTGAGATGAAAATGATGGGAGGGATAGAAACACATCAAGAAGACAGAGCAGGTGGCCTCTACAGTGATTGAGGTGTGAAATGACAAGGGACTTAATGGCAATAATACCAAATAATGAATAGAAAGGGAAATCCAAGAGATTTTTTCCAAGAATGAAACACTTGGACTTGACTTATTTTGTAAAGGGAGAAGAAATTTTTAGAAATGATTCTAAGACCTCCAGCTGTAAAGATTAGGGATTGATGGACTGGATGAAATAAATACCAAAGGAAAATGATAAATCTTTAGTTAGAACAAGGTCAGAGAAAATAAATACTACTCATAACTTAAGTAAGAACTCCAAGTGGAGATGTCTCAGAAGTTTAAAATGTTTGCTTTCAAGAAATTTTTACCCATTTATTATGTTATCTTTATTAATGACGTGGCCTATAATAGCATCAATTATTATTTTCTGCAGGCTCTGCTTGAGGAGAAGCAAAAAGAAGAAGAGATAGAGAAAATTAAAAAATCATTTTCTCAGTTTATGCAAGAGGCTGCCACAAGAGCCAAGAAGGAAGTAAGGGGGCTTTTAATTATATTTAAAATTAAAAATTTTACAGCTTGAGACTCAATACTGCTTAAGTTTTGCTTGATGGACCTAGTTACTTAAATATCAACTAATTTGGTAAGCATCAATGTACCAAATTTCAAATAAAAACCAACATAGGATATTAGCACTTACAATTTGAGGTGGAGTGGGAAAGCAGTGGAGGGTAGGGAAATGGCAGAGTGATGTATATACACACCTCCCACCTCCCGCCCTGCCATATCAGGAAGCTATAATGTCAGGGTATGCATTGGTGATGCTAAGTTTGATCACATGATTAAGATGGTAAGATCAGATTTCTCCATTGTCACTTAATAAATAATTGGGGGAATTTGTTGAAGACCATGCTGGTATCCTTTTTCACCAAAATCTTTCATACAGTGGTCTTGGCACTCATTGATAGTTCTTACCAGAAATAAATATAATACGGACTGATTAAAATGATAATATTCTATTCTTTCTATACATTTATAAGCTGTTGTTTTTTCACTAAAGAAGTGCCCTGCCCCTCTTTTTAATATCACTGTGGATTCATTTTATGTTATGTTACCATCAGTCTTTTTATCCTCAAACTAAAGGCCCCGTGCACGAGATTCATGCACTGAGGGGGGTGTCCCTCAGCCTGGCCTGAACCCTCTCGCAGTCTGGGATCCCTTGGAGAATGTCCAACTGTGGCTTAGGCCCAATCATGGGTCGAGCTTAAACTGGCAGTCAGACATCCCTCTTGTAGTCTTGGGCTCTTACAGTCCAAGACCCCTCTCTCCTTACCACCTGCCTGCAGCATAGGCAGGAGAGGCTCCCGTCACCACTGCTGGGCTTGCCAGCTGAGCCTGGCTTCTGGCTGAGCAGCTCTCCCGTTGTGGGAGCGCACTTACCACCAGGGGGCAGCTCCTGCATTGAGCGTCTATCCCCTGGTGGTCCCTGAGCATCATAGTGACTGGTCATTCGCCGTTTGGTCAATTTGCATATTATGCTTTTACTATATAAGGTTGTCTCTCTAGCTTTCTTGCATAAGTGATGTTCCTCTCTTATCCTGTGCTTTCCCTGACTCAGACCTGGAATCTGCCATTTTTTCAAGAAGCCTGGGTTGTAATTTTTAACTTGACACTTTGTCAGAGACAAGGTTTAGAAAAAGCAGAAATTTATAGTTTAATTTTTAATTTTTCTTTTTTAAAAAAATATATTTTATTGATTTTTTTTTGCTCCCCTCCCTTCCTCCCATACATACCCTCCCTCCCCAGAGTTTAATTTTTAAATATTTACATTAAAATCCTTGACTACATATTTATAAAGACTTATCAATGAGATTATTAACATAAATTATTGTAAAATAATACCTTTTTCCTTTAAAATGAGCTTCCATACACCTCTAGCTAATATAATATTGTATGCCAACTGTATTTAGTAAAAAGTAAATTTGCTCGGCCAGTCTGTTCAGTAGTTGAGCATTGACCTATGAACCAGGAGGTCACAATTCGATTCCCAGTCAAAGCATATGCTTGGGTTGAGGCCTCAATCCCCAGTTGGGGGTATGCAGGAGGTAGCTGATCAATGATTCTCATCATTGATGTTTCTATCTCTCTCCCTTCCTCTCTAAAATCAGTAAAAATATATTTAAAAAATAAATTTAATAAATAAGGCAAGTTAGCTCTATAAAAAATAGTTAGATATACTGTGTATTCCTTCACTAGCTGTTAACTATTTTCTTACATATATATATATATATATATATATATATATATATATATATATATGATGAAATTGTTTTTTATCAAAGTGCTCATGATAAGAGACATCCTCTAATTGATTTCTAATTCTAAAATAAATTTACATTAGTTTTATGGTCAATGGAGGTTATCTTTTTACATGAATCCTTTAATAATCTCTGTAATTTTTTCAAAGGTGTTGCAATCTCTAAATTCAGTCCAAACCTTTCTGCAAACACGAGTATTCAGCTGCCTTCTAAAATCTAGTTTCTCTCTATCTAAAGATCTTTCAGACCTCTATTCAACTTGTTAGGTGTTTTAAGGCAGAACTGGAAATTTGCAAAAATGTAAAATAATCCCACTCTTCTCAAAATATTTTCATTTTAGAAGTTACTTACTTTTTATAAAATATATTATTTGTACTGTAAACTGTAGAAACCTTAGTTATTGTTATTTATGAAGGAATTAATAAGTAAATACTTTGAAATTTTTTGTTTTAATCTCTAATATGGTATATTTCAATAGGAAAAAAAAATCATAAACAAAAGATAGCTGTTTTTTATTGTGTAAAAGGATCCTGGACCAAAATGCTTGATAACCACTGTCCTTTATCGTAGTCTCTTTCCTTCCACTTCATGATAAATTCTTAATTCTTTAATATTTCCTGTGCTTGCTTATCTTTTATGCCCTAAAAGTTACAACTTTATTTTTTATCAAAATTATTATTCTAAATGTGTATATTGGATATTATTAATTTTTATTTTAGTCCTTAATAATTCATAAATATTTTAATTTACAGATTTCCAATTCAAGAAAACAATATCAGGTACAGATTTCTCGACTAACAGAAGAACTGTCAGCCCTGCAGATGGTATGTTAGAAGCCTGTATTGATATTTTCTTCTGAAATTGCTTATTTTAAAGGGCAAGAGATAAAGTATTGGACCTAGTTAATTCAAAAGTTGTTTATTAAGACAAGAACTATGCTAGATGCTAGGGACAGAGAGAAAATCAAAATGAACATGTTATCTGATGTCTTGGAATTTTTAATCTAGCAGAAAAGATGGCTCTGATTATCTGTCTTTGACAAAGAATTCACCTGGCACAAGTGAATCAGCCAGCTACAGCTGGGTTCACGTGGGAGACCAGGGAGGGGGGAAAAAAGGTATATATGAGAGTGAGAAGAAAGAAAGACAAGCTTCCCGAAGGAAGGAGTACTGAAGGATGAGTAGGCAAAGAGGGGTAAGGAAAAGAGTGCTTGTTTGGCTAGAGGTGGAGTAAATAAATAAATTTAACTTGAAGATAGATGAAATGGAGTTTCACAACCTTGCTTACAGGGGAGTAAAGGTATAAGAATTTCTGAAGTTGGGAGGATATCTGATTGGTATTTAGTCACCACAGAGAGGACCACATCTTCTCCACATTCTGCAAACTCCAGTGTGCATAATGGGAACTTAGTCATTGTGCATAGGTCCTGAGACCAATAGAACAACAGTGTTACTTTTTGTCTGATGAGTGTCATTTGTTTTAAGGATATAGAAATATTAGGTAAAATTAATAGGATGCAGGGGGGGCACTTTTTTCTCCTTCTATCTCCTTGCTATTTTGCTGATTCTCTTAAATGGAGGGATTTAGCTATCAAAGGATTAACAGCTTTGAGGAAGAAGGGCATACCTTAGTTCAGGATTATTTAATGGATTATAAACTCTGGAAGGACAAGAACATTTGTCCTTATATTTCCCCAAAAGAACATGTACCTGCAGGGATTTAAAACAAACAAAACACACACACACACACACACACACACAAAAAAAAAAAAAAAAGCTGTTAGCTGTGTAACAACCAGAGCTCTGTCAAATCACTTTGGAGTAAAATAAATTATAATTTCAGGTTATTTTAATACATGTTTCTTAGGCTTTACAGTGAAACAATTCTAATTCATAACTAAGTGGCTTTTTCTAAAAATATTAAATATTATCTGATGTCCTGTTGATTCCATTGGGAAAACTGTATGACTAATTGAAAGTGTTTACTGTTGCCTATGAGTGTTTCTGTTACTATGAGTTTTTGTTTTGTTTGTTTGTTTGTTCATTTGTTGCTTTCAATTTTATATCTCACATATGAGTGAAATCATATGGTTTCTAACTTTTCCTGTCTGACTAATTTTGCTAGCATGATATTCTCAAGGACCATTCATGTTATTGCAAATGGCAGTATTTCATATTTTCTTCTGGCTGAGTAGTATTCCATTCTATATCTCACCCCAATAAATGTAATAAAAAGAAAGAAAAAAAGAAAAGTGTTTTAATTAAGCATTTATATTTTCTCAGGAAACTCAGGCTATAGATTAGGAAAAAATATTTGCAAAAGACATACCTGATAAAAGTCTCATCCAGAATACACAAAGAACTCTTAATATTCAACAATAAGAAAACAAATAAGTCGATTGAAAAATGGACCAAAGACCTTAATAGGCATCTCACTGAAGAAGATAATCAGATATAAAGTAAGCTTATGAGAAGTCGCTCCATATCATATGCCACCAGGAAAATGCAAATTTTTTTTTGAGGTTGGCTAAGGATTTATTTATTTTTGACAGTTTTTTTTAATTAAATTATTATCTGTGTACATTAAAACAACAGTGTGATACCACTCATTAAACCAAGTAAGTGCCAGATAAACTTATTGGAATGGCCAAAATCCAGAACACTAACAGAGGCAAAGATGTGGAGCAACAGGAACTTTTATTCTTTGCTGGTGGGAATGAAAAGTGGAACAGCCACTTTTGAAGGCAATTTGGTGATTTCTTACAAAACTGAAGATACCCCTACACATAGCCCAACAATTTCACTTCTCTTTATGTACCTGAACAAGTTGAAAACTTATGTCTACTCAAAGACCTGCACATGATTATTTATAAAAACTTTATTCATAATTCCCAAACCTTGGAGGCACCAAGACATCATTTCCTATGTGAATGGATAAATGAACTGTGGTATGTCTAGACAATGGAATATTATTTAACACTAAAAAGAAATGACCATTCAAGCCATAAAAAGACCTGGAGGAAACTTCTATGCATACCAGAAGCCCAGTGCACAAAATTTGTGCATGGGTAGGGTCCCTAGTGGCTGCTGGCTGCTGGCTGCCAGCCAGGGCCTCCCTTTCCCCAACTACCTGCTGCCGCCACCCGCTGAAGCCTCCCTTCTCACCCACCTTGGCCTGGCGCTGCCCACTCACCTGCTCCACCTTCCCACCATAGTGCTGCTCTCATTAGGGCCCATTGGGGCCGGCAGTGCCTCCACTGCCAACCACTGCCAGCACCATGTCACCAACGCCAGCCATGTTCTGCACTGCCCCTTGCATTGGCTGTTAATAAGTTGTGCAAAAAAAAAATTTTTTTACTTTTAGAATTTATATACATGCTTTTAGTCCACATGTATACTCAGGGTGCTGTGCCTTTGCCTAGTCCGGTATTTTCTTTTAAAATATGATAAGGATTTATGAAAAGAAAAACTAAAAGATGAGAAATGGATCTCATTTATTTATGTTTTTCTCCTTGCTGTCCCTCAACTTCTGTCACTCGACTGGTATATTTACTTAGAACTTAGCATTCTGTATTGGGGTTATTTCTGAAATCCTGGGGGAGTTAGCTCTTTGAAGATGGAGTTTGTTAGTTTGTTAGTTTGTTTTTGTTTTAACCAAGGCCTTGCTATACTGATAAGGTGAATGTGGCGTTCCTGTTATGAACAAATAATATTATCCATGTTTTTCCATTTTTCTTAAGGATTTACAAATATTATAGTTATTTACAATATGACTTGAATTTATAGGAGTGTACCGAAAAACAAGGCCAAATTGAACGAGTCATTAAGGAGAAAAAAGCAGTGGAAGAAGAACTAGAAAAGGTAAAAAGAAAAAGAAAAAAATAACTGCCTAAAATCCAACTGCAAATATTCAACATTACTGTCTGCTTCCATCACACTATCTACTAGCAACCCCTATATATATAATAATAAGTATTCATCTAGTGAGTGTTTTTTTTAGGCTTGAAATACATAAAAGTATAAATTTTATGAAAAAGCTATATTCGTTGTTCAAACCTCATCCCAATGGTAAATTTTATTTTGTCTGTCTTCTCATTTTAAATTTTATGCCATCTTGAAAATTATAACATTGACGTGATTTTTACCTTTAAAAATGCATATTTTTATTTCATAGTTAATAAAAACACTTACCCCAATGATATTTGAGGGGAAAATATTGTAAGGAGTCTAAGGTTAATATTTTTTCTTACTTAGATAACTTTTATTAGCAGTAAATATCCCACTCTCTTCAAGAGCCTTGGGGGTAAGAGGCTACATTTGATTCAGCACACAATTATCCAGTGTTTAAAAAAATAGTAATGGAGTCAAAGTTTGATTTTCTTCAAAGAGCTATATAGCATAAAAAGCATGTGATATATTTATATCATTAACATAAAGAGATCATAACAACATAGGATCATAAAAGAGTAATTTAAAAAGCAAAACATCTTTTTAATCCCTTATCTAGGTAAAAAAAAGCGCACAAGATTTTTAGGTAGGAACTTCATGGTCACCATTCTCCTTCATGGTTGATGCCTCCTCAGTTTTCATCATATATGTACCATTTAAATTGCGATCAGGGCTTGAGGTGAAATTTTAACATAGGCTGTATTGGAGAAATGTAAAACTTACAAGGCTAAAGGTAACAGGTTCTCCCACTGTCCAAAGACAAGTGTGCTAAAGTCCCTTGCTGCATTGCAAGATGAGTCTGCATTTTGGTAGTAGGACATTGTGCTGATATTCTATCATTTTTATAGAGTAGGAGTAACAAAGCATCTTGTCAGTGGGAGAAGACTCGGGTTACCTGTCCAGGCAGTCTGGATTTGAAGGGTAGGATTTGTGTGAAAATGTGAGCTGTCTAGACCTTACAATTCTTGGGGTGTTATAGACTCTACTAGAGGTCTGGTGCACGAAATTCGTGCATGGGTAAGGTCCCTCTCTAGGTCTGGCTGGCAATCAAGGCCAATCTGTGGGGTGACTGATGGGGCAATCAGGGGGCCCCTGCTAGCACCTGCCTTGTCTGGCTTGGGTTTTGGGGGCAGCTCCTGCATTGAGTGACTGCCCCCTGGTGGTCAGTGTGCATCATAAGTGACCAGTCATTCTGCCTATCATTCCACTCTTCAGTCAATTTGCATATTAGGCTTTTTTAATATAGGATGTTGTGGGAGAAGGCTACATAGGAAACTGAACATGGGTACAATCATTCCTGCTAGGCAAGGGGGGACCCCCATTTCAGCTAGACCGTTATCTAGTTAACACAAAGGGGTATTTTGTAGTCACTTTCAGATAGTTCTGCTCATTACACCATAACATATATTGTGTTTGAAAATTTAAATAATTGATTTCTGGGATTTTTATCAAAGAATCAAAGCAGTTACCTCTTAAGGGTGACATCTAGAGCACTTTTTTTTTTTTTTTACTTCAGCTCTTTTACATTTTTTTTTTAAATATAATATTAAAACTATTGGAATAATTTACAATGAGCATGAATCATTTTTAAAAATAAGTCATTATTTTGTCAGTTTTTAGAATTGTATTTTATAAATGTGAAACATCCATCTTAATTATTGATGTGCTTTACTGCATTAAAGTGGAAAAAGATAAACACAGGATCATGGATTATGATTTCTCATCGTTGATTTCCATTTTTAAATCTATAATTTCTTAGAACATTGTCTCTGTAAGGTAACATACCAATGAGCCTCTTCTGCAGGTTTACCGTGAAGGCAAAGTAAACGAAAATCATTACAGAAAACTGGAAGAAATGCACCAAAGATGTCTGGTTGCAGAGTGTTCAAAAGATGATCTTCAGCTAAGACTTAAGACAGCAGAAAATAAACTAAAACAATTTGAAATAAAGTAAGACACTCTTTAGAATTTTCTGTGATAACATTTTCAGAATGCAAATAATTTTTGACAGATCCTTTACTTTTTTATGGCCAGCTAATGTCTTTCTATGGGGGTTGCTTGAGGAAATAAAGTTTTATTACTATTTCACCTTTCATACCATTTGCTTCAGTTTGTTCTCTTGAAGTCCTCTTTACACACGGATTCTCAATGTTCTTCTATTCTTAGTTAAGATAGTTAAATTGAATGTGCTTTCCTGGCATAACATAGAATTCTGACACCATGCAGTTAGGTTGTATGGTGAAGACAAATGGCCCAGAACAAAGAAAACGAACTCTATGTATAAAATATAGACAGATTTCTTGACGTCCATTACCTATCATTAAGTTTAAGGGTTTTGTTTTTTTTTGTTTTTCTTTTTTAATCAGTTCCTCAGAAGAGATATCACGTTGCCAAGAAATGATTCAGAAACTTCAAAATCTCCTGGAATCTGAAAGAGAGAACTGTGGCTTCGTCAGTGAACAAAGGCTAAAACTTCAGCAAGAAAATGAACAGTTACAGAAGGAGACCGAGGATTTAAGAAAGATGGCTCTTGAGGCTCAAAAAAAAGCAAAATTAAAGGTATTTTCAATAGTAGTCAGAGTTAAATATGGACTTGTGAGAAGCAAAATGTAGAGGATATTTAGAGACCTTGTAAAACACTTTTAAGGCCCTTTTTCTTTTTTGCCTTCTCATCAGATAGCACTAAATCATAATGCAGAGCGTTAACCGGCCTTTCTGTGGTGTAGAACTTGGCAAGCATACTTGAAAATGATTGCTTTCACTGTCCACACACACAAAATTATTTTCCAACCGTGAAGTACACTAAGATTCCTGCCAAAGCAATTTAAGCAATGCTAGCAAAACTATAGATTAGATAACTTTATAGACTACCTCTCTTCCTCTGTAATAGCCTCTTGAAAATTGACCTCTAAAACTGGCTATACAGAGGATGCTACCTCAGAGTGTTCTGACAATCACTCGTAGGTAGTCTAAAAATTCCACTCGGAAGAAGATGAGGGACGAACTCTCTTCCAGGAAAAAGTCCCCGTCATTTTCTCTCTCATTTCTCCTTTAATGCTCATATACTTTGGCAATAGGAACATGATTACCTGTTTAAGGGAGTTTTAAGGGGCGCACGTATCACTCACTGCCAACATGTGGCTTGCCTTTCCCATTTTTTTTTGGAAAAGGGGCATTAACTCTATATCATTAATAATCTGTATCTTCTAGTTTCCTAGTAAGGATGCGGGGTGATAATGCTAGTGTTTCACTTCATTTTTTGTTATTTTGAGGACTCATAAAGTCACATTTCACCCAAATTAATATCAACTTTTATTGAATGCCTCTTTTTCTAAGTATTAACACTGGTAAAAGCTTGAATTCTGAAAAAGAGAGCCTTATGTCTCCTACCAAGAACTTTGTACTTTATACTTTAGTCAGTGAGAAATCTTTGAACAATAAGGGAAGAATTGTTCTATAAGATATGAAGACTATATAAAGCTATAGTAATTAAAAATGTGTAATCAACGTAAGAATAATCAATTTGATCAGTGAAACAAAATAGAGTCCAGGAACAAACCAGTTTTTCATAATTACCTCATTTATAATAAAGGCACCACTGCAATTCAATAGGGAAAGACTTATCTTTACCGTAAATGATGCTAGATCAGTTGAGTCCATATTTTAAAAATAAACCTTGACTCATATCACACCACCATGCAAATTGATTTTGAGTTGTAGACCTAAATGAAAATATAAACAATGGAGCTTCAAGGAGAAAAGCTTCAAAGAATTTCTTAAACAGAACACATACAAAAAAAACAATAATCATAATGGAAACACAGATGAATTGAATTTTACTAAAATTAATGAACGACATCAGAAGACATCGAGAGAATAAAAAGTAGAGGAAAGTATAATATATAAAATTAAAAAAATGGGCTTATATTCAAACTATAAAAACTATTACCAATTAAAAAGGAAATTATTAATAAGGAAAAAGTTACTTAATAAGGAAATAACAGACATCCCATTTCCATAAATGGGCAAGACTTAAATGGGTACTTTATAAAAAGAGCACATATGAAAAAATGTTCAATTTTATTACTTATTAGTTAAAACTATGGTGCAAGTGCCACTACCTACCCACCAGAATGGCTAAATTTTAAAAACTAACAGTATCAAGTGTTGACAAAGGTGTAAAGCAGCTGGAACTTTCATATAATACTTTTCAAAATGTAAATTGGTATAACCACCATTTGACAGTATCTTTTAAAATTGGACAGACATATATTCTATATAAAATAATCCTGGCTACTTACCCAAAGAGAGTGCTTATGTTCTCTGCAATGAAGGACACAAAAGAAGATGGGAGGGAGACTTAAGTCCTCTTTTCCTACCCAACATTCTGAGGTCCATCATTTGTGGGACTTTCGTCACAGGAGGCCCAGTTGTTTTAGCCATTGGCCTTTCGATGTCACTGCAAACCTATCCAGTTTAACATTCAGAATTGCATCCAGTAAGGGGTCTGAGGTTTGTTTAAAGACTGAATTTTGACTCCAAAAAGCCATCATTTGATCAATCCTCAGCTGTATTTTGATGACTATGTTTCAGGTCCTAAAGATGTAATAGCAAACAAAAAGGACATGGTCTCCACCCTTAAAACCTTAAAATGTGCATGGAGTTGGGCAAACTTTAAACATCTACTTACAGAACTTTTAGAGAGGGACCTAACTTTGTCTGGATAGGTAGAGAATTAGCCTGTAAAAGCAATAATTGGTCTGAATTCTAAAAGTTGGATAGATATAACCAAGATGGAGCAGAAGGGGAAAGATTATTCTACGCAAAGAGAACATGTCAAAATGACCCAAGAATGAGAAGACATTGTGGCAGAAAGGAAGGAAGAAGGGGAAGGTGGCATAATACAAGTTTGTACTAGTAGAAGTAGGCATGGATCAGGCTATCATGAAGGACCTAAAGCAAGGCTTGTCACAAATAGATTTTCTAGGTGGCAATGGGAAGTTAACTTGGTAGGCAGAATTCTAAAACTATATATATATATATAAGTGTGTATATAAATATGCATAGATCCTTTTTAGTATGTGTGTGAGAGAAAGAGAAATAGACAATTCCACATAAGATACCAGAATCAGGGCTTCTCAAGAGAAGGTGGAGATTGAGACAGGGAAGGAGGAGGGAAATACTCAAATCTAAATTTTCAGACTCTAATAATTGAAAAAGTATTAAAAAGCAGGAGTCACGGAGCCTCGGGAGACTTGCCCAATAGTAGTGCAATACAAAGTTAAGAAATCATTCATAAAGTCCTACATTTCTACTTGTGTTCTGTTTGAGAAAGAAACTTAAGAGTCTTAGAAGCATGTTGTATTTAGCAGGGGCAGTGAAGACAGACAGTTTGCAGTTTTCCTCCATGAGCCAGGGATTTTGCTGTTGTTGGGTTTCCTTTGGTGTTTTTTGAATTGGTAAAGTTGGGTTCTTTGTTCATTCTTTTTTGAGTATGGAAGTAGCCATATTTAATGAATTGCTAGAAGCCATGCCAGCTATGACCATTTTAAAGCCCAATACTTGAAAATATCACAAAGTTAGGTATTCTTTATAATATTGCTTTAGTGTAGCAGGATAAAGATGTCCTGAGAGCACACCAAGAAAATTGTAGTGCCTGTTTTCTCAGTTGCCTCAAGGAAGGTCATAGGTAGTTTTTATTCTAGATGCACCTGGAGGAGGCACTTCATTACATGCTTTAGGGCACTAAGGCTTCATTCTCTCCCTGGATCCCAGCTGAGAAAACCACTAGGGTATCCCAACAGTATTTATTTATGTGTTCATAAAATGTGTTTACTATGACATACACTACCTAGAAATGAACCAAACTTATTTCCATATGAGATTCTCAAAATCATTATTATAGTCTTTTGAAATGGTGAAGGAACTCCCATATATAATAATAGAGGCCTGGTGCATGAAATTCGTACAGTGGAGGGAAGGGAGTGGGTACTCTCAACCCAGCCTGTACCCTCTCACAGTATAAGACTGCTCCTATATGGCTCCTAATGGCTCCTAACTACTCTCCTGCCTACCTGCCTGATTGGTGCCTAACTGCTCCCCTGCCAGCCTAATCGCCCCCCAATTTCCCTCCCCTGCTGGCCTGATCTTGCTCCCAACTGCCCTCCCCTGCCAGCCATCTTGTGGTGGCCATCTTGTGATGATGTCATGGTAGCCATCTTGTGGCAATGTCACACGATGCCACGTAGGCTTTTATTATATAGGATTCTATGACTTCATAAAGCCCTTTGAAAGACAATCTGAAGTTTTGTATATTAATCTAAAGTGACTGCAGGAGCTCCTGAGTTGGTAAACATGTCAGGAGGTTAGGGTCTATACCTGGAAGCTCGCAGTCCCTACATCCCAACCTTGCCCTGTGTATCTCTTCCATCTGCTGTTCCGGAGTTGTAGCCTTTATAATACACCAGTAAACATTTTTTTAAATGGCTTAAGTAAAAACCTAACTTTTAATGGCTGAGAGCCTGAACATTTCCCATGGATTATGGCAACAGAAGTAATAGTAAATGATGAGAGCAGTTTTACATTAAAGAGTACTAGAAGCCCGATGCATGAAGATTTGTGCCAAAATGGCCTTCCTTTCCCTGGCTGTCGGCACCGCTTTTGCTCTGGCCAGAGTCGCCTTTCCACCTTCCTACGCTACTCAGAGGCCCAGAGAGCCGGGGGCGGGGCAGGACAACTGCATTGTCACCATGGCAATGACGCAAGCATCTCACCCCACCTCAGCTGCTTGGCGCTGTGTATGCAAATTAACCACCATCTTGTTTGGTTAATTTGCATACTCTTGATTGGCTGTGGGTGTCATGAAGATAGAGTCAATTAACATGTTTGTCTATTAGGTAAGATACTTTTTTCTACTGGCATTTTAAGGTGTTGAGGAAAGTGTCACAAAAAATTGTGGTTCATCAAAATTCTGATTTCACTAAATTTTACTGTCATATAGGATGAGTCCTCAGTGGTGAAAAAAAAAACAGTTATAAACTTAACTTTTATGTGGATTTCCCATAAAAAAAATTTACATGTACAGACAATGCAATGAATATTCCTTTTGGGTGTCAGTGGTCCGCGTATCCTGTAGAATAATGGGAAAGAAAGAGAAGACACTGTGTGTATTTTATTCCCTAGATCAGTGCAATGGAACATGAATTTTCTGTAAAAGAGCACGGGTTTGAAGTTCAGCTGAGAGAGATGGAAGATACTAACCGCAACTCCACTGTTGAACTGAGGCATCTCTTAGCAACTCAGCAGAAGGCAGCCAATAGGTGGAAAGAAGAAACGAAGAGACTTACTGAAAGTTCCGAAATGAGGATTAGTAATCTGAAGTAAGTCCACTGTTAATTGTCTCATACATTTTACAGAAGAAATTAATCATTAGTGTAAGGTCAGTTCCATAGTATTTTTATAAAAGTGTATAATCCTGGACCTTATATTTATGTTTTATTCATCAAATGTTTATTGGACCACTATAAAAAATATTGAGCATTATAAAAACTGATATAGTGTATTTTTATAAATTTTATGCATATTCCATAAAGTTTAATTTTTGTTGGATATGGCCATTTAGAATCTTAATGCTATTTGCATATAAATATAACATAGTGATGCAACAGAATCCATTTGGCCTGCAAAGCCTAAAATATTTGCTCTCTGGCCCTTTAAGAAAATGCTTACTGGCCCCTGCCCAGAAGAAACATGAGCTTCGATGCTGAGTGAGATGGGATGCTATAGAGGCTTTGAGCAAAGTGATATGATCAGACTTAAATGCTCAACAGACCAGAACTAAATGTGGGGAGTTGTAAATGATTTCCATGGTGCGGGAATCATTGATGCTCCAATATTCTACTGCTTGTTCTCATTATAAGCTTTCGTTCAAAAATTGCCTCAGAACTTTTTGCTGTGTTTTCATCTCTTTAATACTTTTGAAGTATTGCAGTTTTAATGAATTGATTAATCTGAATAATCTAATATACCTGTAGTGGATCCAATCATACTTTTTAAAAATATCCCACCTCATTTGGCATAATATATATTGGTGAAATATATATTTCATGATAGTATAATATATATTAGTGAAAGCTAGGCTTTGGGTAACTTTTTCCTGTACATGTGTCTATGGTCAGTTACGGCATTCAGGAAGCTGAAATCAACTGTAGCTTCAAAATAAATCAGTTGGAACTATTGCAGGGAATTAATATTGGGGTCGTTAGAATTAATGTTGTACTTATTACACAACATATTCTAATTAAGGAACATTAGCAGTTGGTTTTAATGTTATTTCTTAACAGGAAATACGCTGTTATATCTTCGTGTTTTTATACTACTTCCTTGAGTAAAATTAGTGAGACCAGAGGAAAAACAAAAGAGAAAGAAACCAGACAGAGTTTTACAGTTTCTGTTCTCCAGGTTCCCAGGGGTGAACGCAGCACACCAGCCAGAGCCCAACAGGGGCAGCCTGGGGTTGGGCACAAGACAGAGGGAGTCAGGGACAAGGCTCAGCAGCTCACACAGACAGAAAAGCCTGCCGAGCCTAAGTAGTCAAGCAACACTTTGTACCCTAGTTCTAGTTGTACACTTTTTTTTTTAAACAATTTTATTTCTACTTTTGGTGAATTATTATTTTTTTTTTTTTGCCAACTATGAGTTTGAATTTGCAGCAAACTTACTCTGTAAGTCATTGCTAAGAACTTACATTTTTCTCAAAGCTTATTAAGTAGAAGTAATATAAACTTTTCAAATTATCCATTTGACAACTGAAGGCATTATGTTTATTTTCAGTTTACATAGAATCTTAGAATACTGTGTATGTCTTCCCAAAATAGTCTCCATCTTTTATGCATAACTCATAATTTGACAGCTTTTAAATACTGAAAAACATAAGCTTTAGGATCATATATTTATCAATAGCCTTCAACAATAAACTATTGAAATAACAATTTTAAAGATCTAAAATTTTTCTCCACAGTATGAGTAGCTAACTTAAGACCTTCACACAGGAATCAGTTAGGGTATATAAAAAGGAGTCTAATGAACAAAATAAACTGACAAAATAGAAGCAGAGGCATAGATACATGGGACAGACTGACAGCTGTCAGAGGGGAGGGGAGGGGAGAGAGAGAGAGAGAGAGAGAGAGAGAGAGAGAGAGAGAGAGAGAGAGAGAGAGAGAGACACAACAGTGTGGTGGTAGCTAGAGGGAAAGGGGGTGCGGTGGAAGTGGAGGTGGGCAATGGGGGAGAATGAGGACGGAAAGAGACTGCTTGGGATGATGGGCACATGATGCACTGTGCAGATGATGTGTTGTTGAGTTGTACACTTGAAACCTGCATAGTTTTGTAAACCAGTGTCACCCCAATAAATACAATTTGAAAAAAAACTTAAATTGTAGCTTCTAATTCAGGGTCTGCTCCACAAATGTGTGATGACATATAAACCACTTAATTTTTCCAAGCATCAATTTTATCATCTCTAAGCTCATGTAAATATTATATATTATTAGAAATAGTGTGTACTCATATTTTTATCTTACACTAGAGGTCCAGTGCACGAAATTTGTGCACTTGGGGGCGATTTCCTCAGGCTGGCCTGTGCCCTCTCATAATCCGGGACCCCTCGGGGGATGTCCACCTAACAGCTTAGGCCCTATCTCCCCAGGGATTGAGCCTAAGCCAGCAGACAGATATGCCTCTTGCAGTCCAGGACTCTCAGAGTCTGGGACCCCTTGCTCCTTACTGCCCAGCTTGTACTCACCAGCCATGAGCCTGGCTTCTGGCTGAGCAGTACTCCCCCTGCATTGAGCATTTGCCTTCTTGTGGTCAGTGTGCATCTTAGCGGCCAGTCATTCCACTGTTCAGTTGATTTGCATGTTAGGGTTTTATTATATAGGATTCATATTTCAATGGCCTTACTGTCCCTGAATCTTTAGTCCTTGACTATCTTTGAGATCTTTCAGTATTCTAATTTTTAGTTTTTATCATGATCGTATCTCTTCAAGTTCATATGGATTCTAATTATTGTGACTGCTTTTCCTTCTGTCATTCCAGTTCAGTGTAACCTAGTTTTTAACAAATCCACAATAACTGCATAGGGGAAGAATCCTTCTTTGAATGCTCTTATTAAAGACAAGAGAAAAAGAACCAGATTTTTCCAGCCATTGCCTCTTCTGTGTGTTTGACAATCCAGTCTTTGTCCCAGGGATTAGAACACTCTTCTTATTAAATTTTAAAAGCCCCATGTTCCATGGCATTTTTGGTAGGTTGAATAGGTTGAGGAAGATTACTTAAAACTAAATTGTTTATAAAAAAAATAAATAGGTTACACATCTTACATGCTTTGAAAATTTTAGATTTAGTCATTTTCTTTAGAAATCTTTTTAAAAAGGAATAATTAGGCTTAAGTTAAATCTTTCTTGGTTATGTAATAATTTTTATAATTTTTTTAATATGAGAAAGCATTATATTCTAATTAGGGTTTCATTGTATATATTTAGAATTTTGCAGAGGAAAGTCGATTTTCATAAGGCATTCTTAATCTTTACCTGTTGTGCCTGTGTTGGTTGTTTAAACCAGGATTGGAAGAGAAAGACACTCCACGATTCTAGGGAGACTTCCTGCATGTCTCTGCTAGGTCCCTAAAAGCATGTCAGTTTGCTCCGTATGTTTACATTATGAAAGAAAATGTTTACTTTCAAAATAGAAAATATTTTCACAAGAGTTTGCATTAAGACTTGTTTCCTTTCATAAAGGGATTATATATTACACAGTATTGAGAAAAATATATATTTTTAGCATGTAAGGCAGCAGCACAACAGTTAGAGAGACAACCACTGACTCAGGGTGCGATCAAGCCTGAATTTGAATCCCACCCAGCCCCAACACTTTACACTTACCTGCAATCCCATATGTCACTATAAGGCTTTATTTATATGATACACACATAGTGTTAACTCCATTTCTGACATGTAAAATGTTAAGGAAGGAAACAGTAAAATTAGGGCTTAGGGAATAGCCTTTATAATTGCAAAGAGATTATTGTATTTCAAGCAAACCATATTATAATGCATGGGATATGTATATGAGAAGTTTATGTGCTTATTTCATTTTTAATTGTACAAAAAAGCATTACTAATTCTAGAAAGCACTATATTTTAGGCAAGATTTATATATGTGAATTGTATCCTCTTTGGAGACATAAATAATACTGAGGGATATATATGAAATCAAGCCAAAAATCTTGCTACAATAAAAATAGTATCTATCAAAGTATTTTCCCTATCCCTCACCTATTGGTCATAAACAGAATTACATAGCAACTATAATTTTTTTTATTTTGAAGTAGAAATTTATGTTTATTCCAGTGAAAAAAAATATTACGAATGTGTTCCTCTTCACTGGATATATTTAGGTCAGCTTCCATATGAGTACTAGCAATGTGATTATTCCAGGAACTCTCCAGGCTAACTGCTAGGTAGTATTTCTGTTTCTTTAGGGAAGGGTTCACTTGTTTTCCTCAAAAACAGTTTTAGGCTGATTCAGCGATATAATCCAAGTCTTCAACCAGTTATGTCTGTTATTAATAATAAATTACAACATAAACCACAGAACAATACATTTAAAAATCAAATGGCTCATTTGATGCATTTGACGTTCCCCATGAGGATTTCTGTGTATATGCCACCAATTCAGGCATCCTATTATTTATATAAAATGTATTTATTCATCACTGTTGACAATGAGCTTTTTCAGGTTACGTCCCAGCATTCATTGCCAGCACACCATTATCGTGCCATATGCATTAAAGCTTTCCCCTGAAATATGTCCTCTTTACTTCTTAACAAATATTTATATATTGCCATGTTCTTGCCTCCCTTGTGTCTACCTACTTACTATAGTTCAAGAGCATTAGAGACAAAAACAAATAGCAGCATAGCCACAACACCCCTAAGATGCCAGAATCCTCTGGGGACTGGTTTTGCTGCCTTAGAAAACTTCTGTTCCTCCTGACAAGTGACAAATAAATATGATTATCAGGTACCTGTGATTTCTTAAGATCTACCAAAAAGTAAGTATAGCTATAATGACACATAACTCACATTAATTAAATAAAATCATTTTTCTATAGAAAAAGGTTTTTTATGTATCAGAAGCTTTTTAAAATGTGAGTTCCTCTGGTATCTTCTTTCAGTTTGAAGTTTGCTTTCATTTGTAAATTTTTATTCATTTATAATCATTCCCTCTTGGTTACTCTTTTATTTTGAAACCAGAGGTCTGGTGCACGAAATTCGTGCACTCAGAGGAGTCTCTCAGCCTGGATTGCAAGAGAGCACAG